GGCAGAAACCAATTCTCCTGGATTAGTGGTGCACCAGCCACCTGTTATGTTATAGGGCAGCTCACCAGCACTGCCACCTCTGTGTAGATCCTACAGTATCCTATCAGACTAGAAGCTAAAAAGGCTCCTGATTCCCTGTCAAGCAGCCTGGAACACGCCATTGCTGCTTGTCCAGAAACCTGAGACAAAGGACTACCGACAGGTACAAGACTTAAGAAAAATAAATAAGAGAGTGGAAACTATTCATTCCACGGTACCAAATTCCTACACTCTTCTCAGTTCATTGCCTCCTTCTCACCAAGTCTACACTGTCCTGGACCTCAGAGATGCCTTCTTCAGCTTGCCACTGGCCTAGGTAAGACAACCAATTTTTATTTCTAAATGGTCAGACCCAGAAAGGAGATTTTTCAGGACAATTGACTAAGACACAGTTGCCACAGGGATTTAAAACACTCTCCAACTCTATTTGACGAGGCCCTAAGCAGGGACCTCACAGCTTACAGGCAGGGACCTCACAGCTTACAGGCAGCAACACCCTGAGACTGTACTTTTACAATATGTAAATGATCTCCTGATAGCAACCAAAACTAGGACTAAATGTGAACAGCCAAGCAGAGATTTGTTAAGAACCTTAAAAATCTTGGGGTACCAGGTGTCAACTAAAAAGACCCAAATGTGTACCTCATCAGCCACTTACTTGGGCTATAACCTAAAAGAAGGAAAAAGGACTCTGTCACAGGACAAAATTAAAACAATCATGCAGATTCCTCACCCCAAGACTAAGCATCAGGTGCAAAAATTCCTCAGGGCCGTTGGGTATTGCCTCCTTTGGATCCTTGGTTTTTCTGAACTAGCCCAATCCCTGATGTTAGTACAGGAGGAAAAGAAGGACTTTTTTACTTAGACTGAGAAAGAACAAGAGACATATTTAGTCTCTGCACCTGCATTGGCCCTCCCAGATGTTCTAAAGCCATCCCAACTGTTTGTACATGAAGTTAGGGGAATAGCAAAAGAGATGCTTACTCAGACTTTGAGGCCACGAAAACGATGAGTGGCATATCTATCCAAAAGACTGCGGGAGGGTGGCCAAACTGCCTCCAAGCCATCGCTGCCACAGCAATCCTGGTTAAGGAAGCAGAAAAGCTTACACTGGGACAAGATTTACAGGTGAAAGCCCCATATGCTGTAGTAACCTTGCTCAGAGCCCTCCAGAGCGCTGGCTCTCCAACACTCACATCACCCAGTACAGGCCCTTTTTCTAAATCAGTCCAGAATAAAGTTCCTAAAAACCTCAGCTTTAAACCCAGCCACCCTTCTTCCTGAAGAAGATCCTCCGAGTCCCTGCACAACTGCCAGGATATCTTGGAGTTGCTCCAAAATGTCCAGCCAGACCTGATGGACACACATTGACCAGACCCAGATGAGACACTCTATACTGATGGCAGCAACTACATCCAAAATGGAATCAGGTGTGCAGGGGCGGCTATAATTACCTTAAATTATCTGGGCTCAAGTTCTGGGACATGGAAATTCTGCACAAAAGGCAGAACTAATGGCACGTACCCAGGCTCTCAGACCCGACAAAGGAAAGACTGTTAATATCTGTACTGACAGTAGGTATGCCTTTGCTACTGTTCATGTACATGGAGATATCTATAAAGAGAGAGGACTATTAACTTCAAGAGAAAAAGATATCAAACATGCTGAAAGAGATATTAGCTTTGCTAAAAAGCCCTCTGGTTACCAGAGAAAGTGGCTACCATACATTACAGAGGCCACCAAAACACAGAGACACCAGAGGCAAACGGAACTCCTTTGCTGACAAAATAGCTAAAAAGATGGCTTTAAAACCAGTGGGGACTTACAGATCTTGCCTGTATTGCCTAACCATTTGTTGCCCATTTCCCCCATGTATGTAGAACAAAAGAAAGTCCTAGGAAAAACCTTTAAAATGACTGAGGACCAAAACAGATGCAAGATTCTATGGGACAAAAGAATCCTGATGCCGGAAACATTGGAAAAAAACTGTTAATTAAGCAATTACATCAAGGAACCCATATGGGTAATACTAAAATGGCTAAATTGTTACAAAAAGATTTTTACATTCCTAAGATAACTCAGTTAACAAGACAAGTTTCTTTCAGGTGCCAGACTTATGCTCCAAAAAAAAAAAAAAAAAAAAAAAAATCCCAATCCAAAGGTAAGCCAATTTACAGGAACCAGACTGCAGGCGGTGGGTGCGGGGGGGATAGACTTCACTGAAATAAAACCTGGACAATATGGTTATAAGTATTTACTGGCACTCATGGGACACATATTCCATATAAATTGAGATATTTCCTACCAAGACAGAGACAGCAACTATTATAGTTATGAAACTTATTCAGGAGATAGTTCTCTGATTTGGCCTCCCAATAGCCATGGGGTCCAATAACAGCCCTGCTTTCATAGCTCAGATAACTCAAAATTGATCCAAGGCCGTTGAGATTAAATGGGACCTACATTGTCTATATAGGCCCCAGAGTTCAGGACAAGTAAAGAGGATAAATAAAACCGTAAAAGACACCCTTACTAATTGCACTGGTGCGGTCTGGATGAGCCTCCTTCTTCCCTTTGCTCTAAGACCACCCTCGCTGGTCCTATACTGATGGCAGCAGCTACATCCAAAATGGAATCAGGTATATGGGGGTGGCTGTAGTTACTTTAAATAAAATTATCTGGGCTCAAGTTCTGGGACATGGAACTTCTGCACAAAAGGCAGAACTAATGGCACTTACCCAGGCTAAAAGATAAAAAACTAAAATAAGTAACTACTCACTTCTTGAGTCCTTATAGGCTCTCCAGCAAGCCTCCCACCAGATTCAGGCTTTAACAAAAAGCCTGACAGCCAGTTGCAGGAGAGACCTTCACTCACCCACTCCAGCAGAGCCATCATCCATTTACCTTAGAACCTTGCTGGCACGGGCCCTTTCCGGTCATCCTAACACCCCTACTGCTGTAAAAGTCACCAGAAAACAACACTGGATTCATCACTCCCAAATCAAGAAGACAGCTCCAACAGAAGATCCACCTGGAAAACCGACAATGAACAGTACTCTTGATTTTTACTTTCTGTTCTGTTTCACTTTCAGACATGCACGCTGCACACAGCTCTACTCAGAAACTCTTGAGGCCAGAAAAATGACAGGGAGCCTGCTTCTAAAAGACAGTCACTGATCAAATGACTATCAAGCTGCTAGTCCTTAGAAAATATGACATGGTAAACTTAGATAAAACTAAACTTAAATAAATCAATGATTTGATTTAGTCTCATAAAGCCAGTGGGGAATGTTGTGGTGTAAACTAATCAATAAAATCAGTAAGGATGTTAAGTTAAAGGTTAAAAATTAGTAAAAAAAAAAAATATAGATTATAGATAATAAAATTTTGATAAGATAAGGCAAATATAAAGCAAGAGCCGTCACAGACAGGCCTAAGACTCCATTTTGCTGCCTTCTATTAAAAAACAAAACAAACAAACAAACAAACAAAAAAAACTGTTGCATGACCCATTTCTGAGAAACAAAAACAAAAGCTGTTTTCTTTTAAAAAACTGTTTTTCTGTACTTTGTACCCCACAGAATGTACCCAACTCAGGAGATGGTGGTGGTCATGGTGAGCTACATTCTGGGTTTGAGTATAGTCATGGGTCTACATGACTTTATTAAAATAGATTATCGCCCCTGCTCATCTGAAATCAGGATAAGGTTGTCTAACACTTGTTCGGACCCAAAACACGGTTAAGCTAACTGCTATTTTTAGCTTCCTTGCATGACACTGAGAAAAGCAACTGAGTTGTGGTTTTTGTCCTTAAATTCCCAAGACACAGGCCAGGAAATTGCTGTTCTCCCACAGAACATCAGTCTCTCCGGGTAGGAGACAGTCCCTGGCCAGGTAAATAAAAGCTCTTTTTTGTTTGAGTTCAGACTTAAAAGCATTTTCTGAGGAGGCTCCCCATAACAATCAGTGAATTAATCCCCTGATAGGGATTAACTGAATGGTAATTGAAGTGGTAGGGTGTGGTTGGAGGAGTTGGGAATTGGGGTGGTAGCTTTGGGGTACATATTTGTTTTAGGCAAAGTGGAGACCTCTTTCTGGTTCCTGATCATCAGCTAAGCTGTTTCCCTCTGTCACACTCTTCCACCATGATGTTCTGCCTCACCCCAAGCCCCAAGGATTGGAGCTGGCCTTCCATGGACTAAGACCTCTGAAACCATGAGTCCCTCAAACTTTTCCTCCCCTAAAATTGTCAGATCCTTTAGTCATAGCAGCAAAATAGCTGACTAAAATACAGGGTTTCAATAAACTGCTGAGGGCCTCACTAAATTGCTGAGGCTGGCTTTGAATTTGCAATCCTCCTGCCTTAGCCTCCCAAGTTGCTGGGATTACAGATGTGTGCTACCACACCCAGCCAGGAGATGAGTAAGAAGAAAACGGGAAAAGCTGGAGCAAACCATCTAGGAGTCTTATTAAAAATGCAGATTTTGATCCAGTATGGCCTGAGATTTTGCATTTCCAACAAGCTCCCAGGTGATACCAGACAGCTGCTGTCCGTGGGCCTTGGTGTGCTGAGGACTTAACTCTGGGTCTCACATATGCTAAGCAAGTACTCTACCACTGTGCTATACACCCTAGCCCTTTGTGGGACAATTTGAATAGGAAGGGGTAATTCTGAGGTGACTCAAGCTGTACCCTGTAGGAAAAAACAAAAGGAGTCAGGGATGTCACATAGCTATATGATGCTATAGAGAACAAAGGAAGATGGGGCTTATCATCTGGGAGTGCCCCACACATTCTTCATCTTATTTTTAACTTCTGTGAGGAAACCACCTTTTCCTTTTCCAAATGAAGAAACTGAAGTGTTTCAGTCAAAAACACATCAGAGGTGTGTACAGGTGCCCCATACCATCTCCAATCACCCCCATACTTCCAGAAAACAGCAATCAAGGAGCAAAGAGACATCATGGGAGCGTTGTTTTAATATGGTCTGTGCCAAGCAATATCAAAGTTGTCCATAATCTCCAAGTTTGTCTATTTTTGATAGCAATATTAAATTCTTTTTAAAAAAGTATGCACTGATAAAGAGGCTAGCCACACCTCTGAGGAGATTTAAAAATCAGAAGCCACATAAATTATCTTCCTTAAAAAACAGCCATTTCAAAAGATTTTCTTTAATATCATAAAATATTTTCATGGACAAGTGAGCTAGCAAACACACATGCACCAATGTGTCTTTGACAAGAGTACCCCTCCCCCCACCCCCCACCAAGAGGACATGAGATTGGAGAAATGAATACAGCAGATGAAACAGATAGAAGAAGAAAAAAAAATCAGTAAAAGAATGGAATAAAACTTTGTGCTTGGTTATTTTCCTATGTCACAACAAAACAAAAACATTTTGGTGCAAATAGTTAATTTTTCCTCTTTTCCATTTAAGTCTGGTGGAGAAAAAAAATACTTTTTCTATAATAAAATATGTAATTTTTTGGTTTTTTTTTTTTTTTTAACTTTTTAAACATAACTTTTTTTTTTTTCCTTTTTTGCAGAAAATAATTTTGTAAACTGTCACTTCGCGGGCAGGGAGGTTCGAGGCCGTGTGGTCCCAGCTTGCTCCGTTGGAGGCTGAGAGCTGAAACCAAACTCGGGCAGGAGACGGGGGCAGCGGAGGTGCAGGGCGGGGTGCGCACGGCGTAGGGGCCGAGGGGCTGGGGCGGGTTAGAGGTCACTCTCGCCATACAGTGCCGTGGAGAAGGACATGTAGTCCAGAGCACCGGGCACGGAGTCTGGGCCGTTGTAGGGGGCCATTCGTGCGATGCAGTACTCGGCCTGGTCGGGCGGCAGCTCTCGGCGCAGTTCGTCACCTGTGATGTAGTTCTGCAGAGAGAGCGTGGTCAGGTGCCGCAAAGCCAGTTGGCAGGGCCGCAAAACCCTGTGGCTGTAAACTTTCCGGTGACCTTAGGTAACCTAGGCCATCCCCATTTACACTCCCTCCTAGTTCTTTTGGATCTATACATATAAATCCAAACATACATACACACATACACACTCTGTATATGTATATATACACCTAATATATTTTAAAAATCATTTCATATTTTCCGCTTCTATATCGACTTTAGCCTCTTTCCAAACTAATTCCACATTTAATTATACTAATAATCTTCTCATGTATCACACTACTAGTCTGCAATAAACCCATGATGGAGCAATGTCAACAGGCACTCTGCTTGAACACAGAGATTCCTGAGGGATCCCACTCCCACTTAATTGGGCTCTCTGGAAAATCTCAACCAGAGAGTTAAATTTTAAGGAGACCTCCAGCAGATTAAGATGAGCATCCAGTTTCGGCATCCCTGCCAGACAGCATTTAAAACCTATCTGGCTGTCTTAACCATCTTCAAAAGTATGACCCTTACCCCATTCTAGCCAGCTGTCAGCGTGGGTCTTTGCCTTCACCCTGCCCCTCTTGTGTACCTGTGATAGGTCTGCTCAGAAGCTGTCTTTTCTAGAACATTAGAGGGATCTGTGGCTCTGACAGATCCCTTCAAGTTCTCTGGTCTAAAAATGGCTGTGGGTCTGAGTGACATCTGGGTTCACTGATGATCATTTCAGATGGCTAAGACCTGGACTGGGCCTCTGGCCTCTGCATACAGATAGCATTGGAAAAGTGGGAGGGGCACTGAGGGGCTAAGTGGGGCATTACAGGGGACTCAGATTTGGAAACCTGAAGCAGGCCACTCTCAAGAGTAGAAAAATGAGAGGCATGCTTCCTTCTTTCACCCCATCCCCTTATCTTGCTTCCCACCTATATTCCATACCTGTGCCCAGCAGGGCATAAGGATGAAATCCCAGGGATTCTCAGATGGAGTTCCATTGTTCAGCCACATACCCCAACCCATTCTACTGCCTTCCACCACCTTCCATCCTCCATCATCTCATCACAATGTGCAGGAATCCCTCACTGATATGTAGTGCTCCTGGCAGGGGACCCTTTAAATTAATGCCTTGTCCTAACACCTTTGCTGAGCCCCAGGCATTGCAAAAAGGGGTAGAGGTGCAAGTAACCAGAGGCATAATGGGGTCCTGGAGAAAGGGGTAATGAGGTACTCACATCCCACCCCACCCCTCCAGATCAGATCCAGGCAGTGCCTGCCACCCAGCATGGTGCCCACACCATAGTAGACTCACCTTGTCTCCAGCCAGGATCTTGAAGGAAGCCATGACCTGGTCTGCTGTATCCGTGTCAGCCGTCTCTCGGGACATGAAGTCAATGAAGGCCTGGAATGTCACTACCCCCAGGCGGTTGGGGTCCACGATGCTCATGATGCGGGCAAATTCTGCCTCTCCCTGGAGGAAACAATCAACCCAGGCCTGTCAGCCCATGGCCTGCTGAGAATATATCAGATGGACCTCAAACCCCTGGGGATCAGAGTAGTCTATGGCTGGAAGAGGAGGGTACGACAGTTCTGTGACCTTAACCTGGGTCACACTAAGGGTATGACAGGGTCTCAACACTCAACAGTGGAGACCCAGCTCTGGGCTTCCCACCCGCTACAGGTGTCTGGGTTCCCCCTGGAGAAAATAATACTGGTATTCATTATAATGACAATACCATTAACAAAGGCTAATTCTACAGAGCATATACTATATGCCAGGCACTATTCTAAATGCTTTTAGATATTTTAGTTCATTTAAGCCTCCCTAGAACCATATAGAATCTTATTATGTCCATTGTACAGATGAGAAATCTGAGGTCCAGACAGACTAAGTGGCTTTCCCAAGGTCACGTAGCCAGTGAGTAGGGAGCTAGTATTTCAACTCAGATAGGCGCTGTCTCTCTACCACTCTGTATTTTCTAAGTGCCAGCCTTATGTTAGATTCCCTCATTTCATCTTTACAACAGTCCTATGGGGTTCCCTTTACTTCATCTGAGGCCACAAGCTAGTAATGGAGGAGCAGGGATTTACTTCCAAGTTCATGGTTTCTACCCCAGCCCTCACCCTTGCTTGGAAGCCCACGGGCTCTGCACTTTGCGCCATGGCCAGAAGTTACCTGACTGCCCAGCGAAACACCCTGCCCTGCTTAGAACCCTAGACAAGGGAGGGCATGCTAAGAAGGTTACAGAGAGGCCTGGGACTATGGCAGAGCGGTGGCAGGCCTCAATGGAGCCATCATCAGGGCAGGGGAAGAAATCGAAAGCTCCAGGCCCTCATGTGAGATGAACCAGGGCCAACCCCAAACCCTGAATGTCCAAACCACAATCTTTCCTGCCTGCCTTGGGGTCAGCCCAGTTCTCCATAGGAGTGAGAAAGCTGGTCTCCGCAGTAAGTACCAGAGACAAGCCAGTCTAGAGACGGCAGTGAGAAGGCCCAGGCCTCCCAGCCACACACAGCCTCCATGGCTGGGCCCTGCTTTCAAGGACTGGGAATTTGAGGTTCCTCTGAGAAGGGCAGCCCTAGGCTCAGGGCTTAGGCCTGCACTGCTAGGACTTGGCTTCTCCAGCCAGCTAGCTGCCTCCTCCTGCCAGGGCAGGCCAAGGCCTGGCAGACAGAGGGTGGGGTTTACGTTACCATGTTGTAACCCATGGAGATAAGGCAGGCGCGGAAATCATCCGTGTCCATCATGCCTGTCTTCTTCTGTGGGGCAGTGGCACCAAGATACAGGAGGCAGAGACAGGTGGAAGAAGGAAGGGCCAGCCAGGGGCCAGGAAGACAGGGTACAGACAGCCAGAGAAGAGGGTGAGATTTATGGTTTGCGGGTCAGGAAGGAACAGAGAGGAGGAACATGTCCAGGAAAAATGTCCACAGAAAAGAGAAAAGCAGAGAGGAATGCAAAATCCATCCACAGAATGAAGAGCGGCGAGGAGAGATGAATGTGGGCCCCAGCAGGTTCCCACAGATGACAACCAAGGGCAGAGGGCACAGCAGTGGAAGGAGAAGCCCAACATAGAATAGGCATGGATGGCAGGAGAGGACGAGGCCCATGGCCCACGGGAAGGGGTCAGGGAGATCCAGACAGAGAGAGAAGAGAAAAAGGAGAAACGCGTTATTTCTCGCCCCGGAGGCCACCCCTGAGTGTGCTCCATGCAGGAGGCGAGTACCTGGGGGTCGTTGCCAATGTCATAGCCCAAGCTGATGAGGCAGGCTTTGAACTCCTCAGGACCCAGCGTGCCGGAGTGATCCTAGGGCCGTGGTGCGCCAGGCAGCCAGCCATGCGGTGCCAGGGAGGTGAAGGCCGTGAGGGTGGGGGTGGGCCATGCCCCAGTGGAGGGTGGTGTGTGGGGAGACACAGGGACAAAGGCATGCGATGGAGAGGGTGGAGGTGGAGAGGCAGGGGAGAGGGAAGATAAAAGTGCACATAGTTAGACACACGGATGACGTTCCAGAGGAGCCCAGTCTCTGGCACACGCAGCCCTGCTCTGTGAAGCAGGGCAGGAGGGGCGCAGGAGTGAGAAGCTCCCCCAGGAGTGCTCCAAGCCACCCAGGTCTCCCCCAGGCTCCTCCCACCCACGTGCCTGGAGGGCAGGAAGCAGGCAAGGTGGTGGACAGCAACTGACCCCATGCTTCTCCCACCATTGTGGCTGCCCCAAGCCCCAGGGCACTGGGAAGGGGCAGCCCACTGTACGCTTGGCCTGTCCTGGGGCTGAGATGAAAACCCAGGACAGAGGACTCCAACATCCCCAGTAAAGTGTCCCAAAGGCAGCAGGTTGGGGTAGGAAGGAGTCTCTTCTCTGTCCCCTGAGGCAGAGGTGAGGGTCGGTTCCCACAGCCAGGGGCAGCAGGCCTTCATTTGAGACTCTGGTAGCCTCGCTGTGAGGGTTGATTCCTCATGGTAGGAGAGCGAGGGCCAGGGGTCAAGGGTCTTCTCCCCACCTTCAACAAGAGCACTCTCTCCAGGAAAGCAGGGAGGCTTAGGGGAAGTCACAACAGACTTGCCAAGGCAGGCTCCGCGAGGCACAGGAGTCGGGCTAAGCTGGTGGAGCTTCCTCCGCTCCCTGCTCCTCACCCACCCGGGAACCAGGCCTTGCATAGTGGCCCACACCCTGGGCAGTGCCCTCCAGGGCCCTAGGTCAGGGGCTGGGGGCAGCTCTAAATGAGTGAGGAGTGGGGCTCTCACCCGGTCAAAGTGGTTGAAAGAGGCCCGGAACTCATTCATCTGCTCCTGGCTGATGCCCTTGGCATCCCGTGTCAGGATCTGGTTTTCCACCTCATTGATGGTCCTGGCGATGGTGGTGAGCAGCTGCTCCCAGCCCACGCGGATATGCTGCAGTGGGCAAGAGGCTTGTCAGCAAAAGGGGCCCCAGGGCCTCATGCATCTCAGTGGAGATCCCCCAGGCCTGGGCTGCCCCTCCTATTCCTCCTCTCCACTCTTGAAAACAGTCAAAGCAATTAAACTGGGCCTTCTGTCTGCAGTCCACAGTATCACCAGAGGGAGAAGAACTGAGACAAGGACAACCTATCAGGACACAAGACTCTAGCGAATGAAGAGGGCATGGTGCTGGCCTCTGTCTGGGACAGCAAGAAGACCAGGCTTGGCAGTGGGGGTCGGTTGGGGAAGGAAAGCAGACTTGACATGGGAAGGATTAAACTGGGTGATTCCCTGAACCCAACCCCACCACATACACAAACACATGCACGTGCTCGTACACACTTCACAGTCAACACAAGTGCCGTTATGTGCCACAGGAGGACCTTCTGGTTGGCATCAGGCCAAATAAACAAAGTCACTTAGTGATGGTGTGGCCGTCTTAGTTTGTGTAAGCATCCTCTATGATGTGCACATAGGAGGAAACTGCCTTACAACATGCTTCTCAGAATGTCAGTCATTTGAAGCTGGTGCCCAGGCCAGTGCCTGGAGCCCACCAGTATCAGATTCGCTGGGAGTGCTTATTAAAAATTTAGATGCCCTTGGGGCTGGGGCTCAGTGGTAGAGGGCCTTGCCTAACATGCCTGAGGCACTGGATTCGATTCCTGGAACCACATAAAAATAAACAAAGGTATTGTGTCCATCTACAACTTTAAAAAAAAAAAAAAAAATAGATGCCCAAGCTCCATCCCAGAATGAGAAAGCAAATTCTGGAGATAAAGCCAAGAAGTATACACTCCCCAAAAGTTCCCTGGATCATCCAGAAGGCACTGCAGATTGAAGATGGGGAGCTTCAAGGGCAAAGAGATGTGAGCACTTATCCTGCTAGTATGACCAGACTCCTTGGGAGGGGGTTAACTCCTCCTCAGCCCACCCCAGCCCAGGTGGAGGAGAGAAGGGGATCTGCAGCTCTGCCCCACTCACCTCCATGGTGTAGTTGGTGTGCTTGTTGTCAAAGATGAGAGCCTCCTGGATCAGCTGGTGGTCACCTTCCAGCTGGTCAATCTTTGGCTTGTAGTTGACAATGCTCTTCTCGTATTGTCGCAGGTGGCTGAGCTGGTCCTCCAGGGTCCCATGCATTTCAATGGAGATCCTCCCAATCTCCTGCTCATCCAGAAGGAGGTACCTTGAGAGCCTGCCCCACCCTTCACTCATGGGGTGGGGACTGAGCTCTAAAGGTCATATAGGTTAACTACCAGGAAGATTTTCAGTTCCCATCCCAGGCCTAGGGAGGCCAGCACTGGTAATCACTACACATTTAGTGTGATGTTCTTTGGTAGGAAAAGAGCATCGTAAAGTTATGAAATAAGCATTACCATCGGATGAAATCTCTTGTCTCTCAGGTACCTGTCAGCCTCAGGACGGGGCTGCACGGTCAGTTGCTGACCTAAACATTCATTCCTTCACTCTCTTTTCAAATCCTCTTCCCAAGCCTCATTATTAACCACTGGCCATCTCAGGGATCTTCTCAGTGTCCCCTGAGCCAGGTCCTCCCCAGTGGCCACCACTCCTGCTATTTTGCCTCCTAGGCTCCTGCTCAGCCCTCCTGAGCCCCCATCACCCCCCCCAAAGGACCAGACCTAATGTCCACATCTACATTTGCCTGTCTTCACTCACATCAGCCGACCTCAGCCCATTCGATTCAGTCCTGCCAATATCCCCTGAGCATTTACTAAACACCATGTGCTGGAGGAAGGAAAGATATGCACACAAACATGAATTGCAATTGGTCTCTGCCCTCGAGGAGCTCAGAGACCACGCTCTAGCCAAGTGGTGCACTTTCTCCACCAACGAGCCCACAAAACTCCCCCCCAAAATCTACACTTGATTAGGGACAGCTCAGCTTGCTTTCTGGGCGGAGCACCCTCTTTGACTGAGCCCGTTGCCAGGGGAGCAGCAATGGAGGAAGGGGAGGCCCAGCCAAGAGGAAAGCCATAGGGCTGAAGCTGACCCAGGTGTTCAGGAGCTGGTGGTCCTTGGGGACTGCCATATGCAGCTCTGTAGTGTGTGCTTACTCCCAGATCAGACACTGGGATCGAGCCCATCTGCCTTCCCTGCACAGGACTCCACACTCCCCTGCAGGACAGCAGAACAACTGTGGACTCAGTCTTCAGTTCTCCGTGGGTCCTGCGCAAGAGGAAGCAGGCCGCCTGCCTGGCAGGGATGGTGCGGGGAAGCCCCCAGCTTCTTACAACAGGACCCACCTCCATCTTGGTCTGGATCCAGGGCCCGATGACGTTGGCCTGGGCCCCAAACTGCTTGCGTAGCCTCTCGTTGTGCTGCTGGCGGGCATGCTCCTCGGTCAGAGCTTGGTCTCTCCGCGGCACAAGCTGTCGCACCTAGGGTGGAGACAACCGTGGGATGTCAGGGGTGGGTCAGACAAGGACAGCAGTCAAGGTGTTGACCTGTTCCAGAAATTCACTCACTATGCGGACAAATAATGAATGTTCACTATGAAACAATAAAAATGAATCAAGAAAAATCAGTCACCAGGCCCTTCAACTCACGTGGTCCCATTTGCCATTGATCTCCTGAGGCGTGATGGTTGTGTAGGGGTTGGTGCCTGCCATGTTGACGTGGTAGGTCTGGACGATCTTGGACACCTCGTTGTGGATGCCCAGGATGGCCAGGCGCTCCTTGTCAGCATCAGGGAGGGTGGCCTTGAACTGCTCGTGGGCTGTGGTCAGTCCCTAGACAGACACAAGGACGCAGGATCAGTACAGACATTCAGAGGGGCTGTGTGTCCCTTGGACTAGATGAGTGAAAGGAGCCCTAGAAGTCCCAGGACAGATGCAGGTAGAAGGGCCATGAGAAACCTGAAGGCATCTCAGCCACTTTGGTGGCTGAGAATCAGGAAGGCAGGATGGCCACAGGAAGGGGAAGGCAGAGCTTCCATCAAAGCCACGGCTGCACCCAAGGGACTGGTGAGGCTGTCCTAACCTCCCTGGGGCATTCAACATCCCTCAAATCAAGGACAACGGGGACCCCTGAGCTCTGCTCTCCAGGTGACCTCCCCCAACAATAGTTCCCGCAGCTCTCTGCTTCTCTTTTTGAATCTAATACTTTACAGTTATATAGCAGATAGAGGAAGATGTTAATTATGCAATGAGCTCCAAGATAACTATTATAGTACAAATCAAGGCTCAGGAAATATAAAGTATATAACAGAAGCTTTTTTTTTTTTTTTTTTTGGTGGTGGTATCAGGGATTTATCCCAGGGGTGTTTACCTCCAAGCTACATCCCCAGTCCTGTTTTTTATTTCATTTTGAGACAGGATCTCACTAAATTATCAAGGCTGGCCTCAAACTTACAATCCTCCTGCTTTAGCCTCACAAGTTGCTGCAATTACAGGCATGTACCACCACACCTGGCTAGAAGCTACTTTTTGTGTACAAAAAATGTGGGGGTAGGGGGTGTTGAGAAGAACATATAAATGAATATACTTGTTTGTGTATGCAGAGATATTTTGCTTACCTCTGGGGAGGGGAAATGGGGGGTTAGGGGACAGGAGCAGATGGGAGACCTTATCATACACCCCTTTTACTTTGGGATGTTATAGCATGTACACATATTATCTGGTCAAAATAAATAAAATGCAAAGTTTCAGATCTATGGAATTCTGGGATGCTCTTCCTCATCAACCCTACGGGGGGGAGTGGGACTTACAGAGCATGGGCCAGGAGCAGCTGGGGGAGAGGTCTCTGGAGAGGGGATGTGGCCTACCTGGATCTCCTCGATGGTGTGCACGATGAAGGTGTCCTGCAGGTCCTCCATGGCGCCCTCCATCCAGTTGTTGAAAGGCGCGGCCCGCTTGGCGTACTCTAGGTACAGCTGGTCAATGGTCTCCAGTAGCTTCTCCGTCCGCTGGGAGTGCCGAATGGAGTGGGGGTGGGGTGTTTAGCAGAGGGATGCCCAGAGACCCCGCCCCCACCCCCACCGAGATCTTCCTGGACAGCCCTATCTAGAAGCACTGGACTGAGCCAGGCAAAAAGAACAGGTATCCCTGGGTCTTTGTCAGGTGGATGGGCCACCTCTCGCTGGAGTCACCTGGCCTGGCCCCCAGAGAATCTGACCCACAAAACAAGAAAGTTCTCAAATGGCTTGGGTTGTTCAGTGCACTCAACTGGGAGGATGAGATAGAGTTGGGATCAGAGAGGAGGCATCTCCACACTCAGGCCCACGGTGGAGAAGTCTGGGGAACCAGAGCTGTTTAAAGCAAAGGGAACCAAGGAGGAGGAAGGGGTACACACAGAGCCACGGGCCATGCTCTACCTCTAAGGTCCTCACCTCTAGAGCTTCCCTCCGCTTCTGTGTTAGAGCCCCCAGATTGTCCCACTGGTCACAGATCTTTTGGCAGCGAGCATTGACACTGGGTGAGTCGTAATAGTCGAGCTCACTGGGGAGAAGAGACGAGAAAGTCAGGTGAGGTCAGTTAATTTGGGGGGCCTACTCTCCCTCCTCCTGAAGCTGGGAGTGCCAGTGGTGCTGGAGAGTCAGGGGTGCCCCCTTCTGTAGACTTTCCAGTACCCCTCTCACTTCCTTGGCCTCAGAAGACTACAGACAGGAGATCAAAGGCCAGTCCCCATCTCCAGTGGCCCCGCCCCAACCAAAGCAGGAGGTGATGCCTTCCTTGACCTCAGTGCCCCATGGCAGGGAGCCACCAAGGACCAAGGAGACAGCTCAGCACTCAGAACCAAGGTTGGGTCACCCTCTGGTCCCATATGAGTGACAGATGAGGACCAAAGGCCTATCACAGGAAGGGAGTAGTCCGGGCTCCTTCCCCACCCGGAGGCATTCCTTGCCTTCTGTATGGGCTCCCTCCACACCTGGGCACCATCTGTACCCCCCTCACATCCCCCAGCCACCTGGCACTCCCGCAGCAGCTGAGAAAGCTGAGCCTCAACCCTGTTTCAGGGCACAAAAGGGTGGGGGTAACCGGGGCAGGCCTACTTGAGCTCCTGTGCGATGGCCGCTATCTGCTCCACACGGTCCTGGTGGGCAGCCAGGTCGCTCTCGAAGGCCTCGTGCTTCTTGAGCAGGGCCTTGATCTCAGACAGGGTGGCCGTCTCATAATCCTTCTGCCGCAGCATGGCCTCTTTGCCTGAGTTGAAAGAGAGGGGTGCCCGGCTGAGCAAGAAATGGCGAGCAGGGGAGGGGGCATCTTCTTGGCCCCAGGCATTCCTCCCTCAGGCCCAAGCAACTCCATGGAGGTGTGCACCACACAGCAATCCGCGGTGTGAGAAAGCAGGGGTGCCACCAGAACAACTATGGGGAACAACTAGGAACGTCAACCCTCCCCAGTCTCTTAGAAGTTTGCTTACAGGGCTGGGGATGTGGCTCAAGCGGTAACATGCTTGCCTGGCATGCGTGGGGCGCTGGGTTCGATCCTCAGCACCACATACAAATAAAATAAAGATGTTGTGTCCACCAAAAACTAAACACAATAAATATTAAAAAATTCTCTCCCCCACCTCAAAAAAAAAAAAAAAAGAAGTCTGCTTACAGCAGCACCCATGGGACCTTATGAGCAATAAGAGGTGGAATACTGTCAGGGGTGGAAAGAAAGTGGATCAGCCAGGCCACTGAAATTTCATCATTCCCAATCCCCTTTTTTGGGGGTGGGGTGGCACTGGGGATTGGACCCAGAGGCCACTTTTTTTCTATTTTATTTAGAGACAGGGTCTCACTGAGTTGCTTAGGGCCTCACTAAGTTGCTGAGGCTGACTTTGAACTCACGATCCTCCTGCCTCAGCCTCCTGAGCTGCTGGGATTATAGGTATGTACCACCATACCCAGCCCAATGTTCCTTCCGTGAATGCAAGCTTGTTCGATTTTGAAGCTTTCTGGATGCCTGTATGTCAGAATGACTTAGGAGCCTACTTATTTACTCCTATCCAGTTTTTCCTTATATGGACATTATGTTAAGATACTGGGCATAAATTGTTTTCTGCTTTTCAAATATTTATCAGCACATGATCAGAATTTCCCCTGTGGCTCCACAGACTTCCCATGTCCCGTTGTCCCTCAGTGTCCAGGTGGGATTGGTTCCTGGATCCCTTGCAAACACCAAAACTGGCAGATGCTCAAGTCCTTTATATAAAATGGTGTAGTGTTTGCATATAACCTGCGCACATCATCCTGTACACTTTATCACAGAACTACACCCCCAGCCCTTTTTATTTTATTTTAAGACAGGGTTTCTGTAAGTTGCCCAGGTTGGCCTCCAGCTTGGATCCTCCTGCCTCAGCCTCCCAAGGAGCTGGGATTGCAGATGCACAGCTTCTCCTGTATATTTAAAATGATCTCTAGATTGCTTGTAATAACTAATATAATGCAAATGCTATGCAAATGTCATTATATTGTATCATTTAGGGTGCAGTACAGATGAAGTTCTTTTTTGTTTTCAACATCTCAACCCACAGTTGGTTGAATCCTCAGATGCAAAAACTATGCCAGAGAGAGCAGCCTGTGTCACCCCACTCACCCACCCGGATGAGGAACCATTCATAGCCCTGCTGTGGGCATGAGGGCGAGATGCACTGTGGTAGATGTCTCACCACAAAAGCCTCCAGGCCTGATTTCCTCAAGTTCAGGGTTGATTCCTTAGTCAAGAAATGCAACTCCCAGGTTAGACTGCAATTAATTAAGTCATTGGGTGTGAATGCAGATAGCCAAACTGCTTTCCCTAGAGGTTATGCTGGCACGGCAATGGGGCACCCTTGCCTGTGTCGTGGCTGTGAGCTGTTTCTTGACCCAGGAGGAGACACTAGCAGCAAGTGGGTAAATTAGTGCCCTCTCCACCATCCCCTTCTACTCAGAACTTGCCCACGCGCTTCCCACAGGGCGGTACACCCACACCCCTTAGCTGAGTCTAGCTCACTCCTAGCCCCTGCATCAAGCCAGGCTACTCCCAAATGGCCACAGGGTGTGGCTCTCCTTATTCATTTCTAGTCTGAGAAGCACAAAAAAGGGCTGAAAGGGGGAATCTTAGGGCTTTGAGCTCTGCCAGTCCACAGGTCTGCCCAGGGACGTCAGCTGATAAGACCTGCAGGGCGGGAGAGGCAGCCATCCCTCCCTCCAGCCCTGGTAGGAGTTCTAAGGAAAGAACCCCCCAAGTATGACTGTCTCTTCAGAGTTAACCTTGGCCACTCATGAGTAGACTCCAGACGTGGTTCCAAGTACCTCAAGGTCAAAGAAAGGGGGAAGGACACAGAGGGAAAAAATGTCAAGAGCTGCTCTTTACCGAATGCACTGTACCCGCTGGGCCCTGAACCAGGTGGAAAATGTACTAGTATGTAAGCCTCACGAACACCCTAGGAAGAGGTTTCACGAGGTTGACTAGTGTCATCCTCCCCACCTAATGTCTCCCCAGAACCCCAGAATTTGGAAATAGGGATTGTGCAGATATAAGCAAGGTAAGATGAGGTTAAACTGATTTAAGGTCTTTACTAGGAAAAGGAGCAATTTAGTCTCAGAGACACAGAGAAGAGAAGCCCCATGAGGATGCAGGCAGGGACCAGAGGACACAGTGACAAGACAAGGGATATACCAGGGACAGCTGGCCTCCACCAGAAGCTGGGAAGCAGCACAGAACATACTCTCCCTTTGGAGCCTCCACAAGGAACCAACCCTGCCGACACTTCAGTTTAGGACTCCTGAACTGTGAGGATGAATTTCTGTTGCTTTAAGCCACCAAGTGTGTGGTGACTCTTTACAGCAGCAAAGGAATCCAACACAGGAGGGTACACCATCCCCTGTATTTTGCAGATCTGGGAACAGACCCAAGGTTAAGGCACCAATTCTAACTTATGCTGCTTCCAAGGGGCAGAGCCAGGGTTCAAACCCACTCAGTGATTCAGGAGAGGAAAAACAATGACAGTGACAAGAACAATTACAAACTAGCATTTAGATAGCACTGTACTATGTCGGGAACTCCTGTCAGTACTGCCCATGCCTTCTTTGATTTACTTCTCCCCTATCAGGTTGGATCTGTTATTTTACAGATGAGGAAACCAAGGCAACCAAAAGGCTAATGAGCTTGCCCAGTGCCAGAGCACCAGTACAAGACAGGACTAGCAAGAGAAGGAAGGAGCCAGGGCTGGTGGCCGGGTGGGAGAGTTGCAAAGCCAGAACATCTGAAGAGGTGGGGCTGGGGGGGCCTCACCATCCGTCCAGGCCTCGTGGATGGAGGCCTTCTGCCGGAACTTCTCCGCCAGGTGGTCCAGCCGCTCCAGCCTCCGGATCTCATTCAGGAGCCACTCCTCATAGCCCTTCTCTGCCTGCTCCAGGCAGCCCCAGGCATTGTTGATGTCCTGCAGGGATGGGAGGCACGGGGTCAGGACTTGGCCTGGGCCTGGACCCCAGCCCTCTGGGACCCCTACAGCTGCTCCGTGTCTTCCAGGAGGAACCTCTTCCCAATCTCTGCCCCACACCCACCCCAGCCAGCCATCCCAGCCCACCTCCACATAAGCCACCAGCCACAGGGCTTCTGAGCATGAAGTCCTGTAGGATAAGAGCTCAAGGCCCTCCCTGCCCAGGTCTGGCTTCCCACAGGACTGTGGTCGATCACAGAGGTATTCATGGCCAGTCAGGGAACCAGAACAACAATGAATGGGGCAAGCAGGCACTGGGGCCACCCCACCACCACCACCACATTCCTGGATTCAGGCCTCTGGGCAGTAGCCTGGATGACCCAGCCCAAGGTTCTGAGAGGGACAGCTGCTGAGCACAAGCCCACATACCCCTTCAGACAGAGCCACCTCTACTATCAATGCAAGGACACCCAGGTGAGCACACTAGGGGCTGAACCTGGCCTATGCCCCATCCTCTCTACCATGCCCCCCAGGGCCAGGCTGCATCTGTCCCACCCAGGGCAACTTTTCAACTTTGCAAGAGCACCCCAATTAGGCCAACAGCTGCTCTGGCCACCTAAAAGCTATTGAATCAGACTTGAAACCCAAAAGAAGGCTATAGTTTTCCATACTGCACACAATATCAAAAAGTTGTAGTATTTTGTTTTGTATTAAGGATTGAATCCAGGGGTACTTTACCACTGAGTTATATCCCCAGTCCTTTTTATTTTTTATTTTGAAACAGGATCTCACTAAGTTGCTGAGGCAGGTCTTGAATTTTCAATCCCCCTGCCTCAGCCTCCCAAGCTGTTGGGATCATAGGCGTGTACCTCCATGCTCTTGGCTC